ATCAGAGAATATTACCCCAAGGGTTGATTATATTACCATGATAGCCAACCCCCACAATGAAGGCAAGAATGGGATCTGTTAATAGACAATAATATGTATTAAATATCCAACAAATAATTATTTAATTGAATCAGGTATACAATTGTCTTTCTTTGTTTAATATATTTTTATTGATTTTTTTTTTGATTTTTTTTTTTTTTTACAGAGAGTAAGGGAGAGGGATAGAGAGCTAGAAACATCGATGAGCCGAAACCGGTTTGGCTCAATGGATAGAGCGTCGGCTTGGGGACTGAGAGGTCCCGGGTTTGATTCCGGTCAAGGGCATGTACCTTGGTTGCGGGCATATCCCCGGTGGGGGGTGTGCAAGAGGCAGCTGATCGATGACTCGCTCTCATCTGATGTTTCTAGCTCTCTATCTCTCTCCCTTCCTCTCTGTACAAAATCAATAAAAATATATTAAAAAAAACAAACAAAACATCGATGAGAGAGAATCATCAATCAGCTGCCTCCCGCACACCCCCTACTGGGGATGTGCCCTCAACCAAGGTACATGTCCTTGACCGGAATCGAACCTGGGACCCTTCATTCCTCAGGCCAACGCAATATCACTGAGCCAAATAGGTCAGGGCTGCCGCTGCATTCTTGGTGCTTCCTCATGTGCTACAAGAAAGAAGGCCATGGGACTTTTCACACAAACAAACAACAAACCCAAAGCTCTTACCTTCTGAGGAGAGATATTTTTATGACCAAAAGGGAACTACATTTCCTGGGTTCTAAAAGACTTTATTTAATAACGGCATTTTGGGAAATCTCTGTGTCAAATGTACACAGCAATTGTGAGATGCCTTCCAGTTTCAGAAATGCAAGCCCATGAAAACACATGCATCACAGAATGGTGGAAACTTTATGTCAACAGAAAGTATCTTACTGAGGCAGTCAGTGGTGAATGTGGGAGGGCAACTTTTAACCCCCATTTCTTTTTTTTCTTTTTTTAACTATATTTTATTGATTCTTTACAAAAAGGAAGGGAGAGAGAGAGCCAGAAACATCGATGAGAGAGGAACATCGATCAGCTGCTTCCTGCACACCTCCCACTGGGGATGTGCCCACAGCCCAGGTACATGCCCTTGGCTGGAATAGAACCTAGGCGGACGCTCTATCTACTGAGCCAAACCAGTTAGGGCTTAACTCCCATTTCTTAAAAAAAATGATTGTATCGTTGAGAATATTATAAATGTGCCCCATTTCTCCCCTTTTGCTCCCCTCCACCCACCTCCCCTCCCCTCTATTGTCTGTATCCATGGGCAATGCATGTGCTTATACACCCTTTAGTTAACCTCTTTTACTCCTCACTTTGAGAGGAAGAACTGGCCCAAGAGAGTGCCTAGGTAGGAATAGGTGTCTGGGTTTTGTAATAGTTGTGATAAAGTTTGTAAAAAGGTAAAATTAGAATATGGGAGTGTTTTGCTGTTTTCATTTCCAAACAGCACTCCCCCTCAAAGGTCTTCTGACCTTACATAAGAACAGGATGCTGTTCACTGAAGGTGGGAAGGTTGCATATTTCAGAATTTCCTCCCCGAAAGGAAAAGAGGGAGGACTGGTCTCTCTGCCAAGCTGCTTAGTGGGATTGTGCCTTCCATTGTACAATAGGGAAGATGGACTTTAAGATATTAGTTCAAGCGTTGTTATTGTCCTTCACTTGCATCTCAGTGAGTAAAAAAGACAAGATCCCAGCTTGCAGTTCGGCTCCCCGGTCCATTTAGGCCCAGGGGAAGTGGGGGTAGACCTCTCAGGCAATGCTTTCTCACTTGGTTCCTGGCTTTGGTGGCAGTAGCATAGGAGGTTTATTTAAAGCTCCTTTCCTTGAGATTAAAGAGAACATTCCTACTTCTTTTCTTTTAAATAGTTTGTGTGTGTTTTAGTCTAAGAGAGAGAAAGAGAGAGAGAGAGAACACAGATGACAAAAAAGTCATTATCAGGTGTCCCTTCCCCACAATATTCCCTCATTTTGATAATGTGATTGATCATCCTGTGGGACTAAAAGATTAAAACTTTACTATTCTTACCTAAAAGAAACGAAACAGAGAAAGTTAAAGAAGAAGAAGAAGAAGAAGAAGAAGAAGAAGAAGAAGAAGAAGAAGAAGAAGAAGAAGAAATTATAGCATCAGGCAGGTGAGTGGGGGGAGAGTTGTTTTGCTGCTCACAATACTGTACCTCACTGACAGGAAGACAGCCAGGCTTTGCATTGCACCTGGTACCTCAGTTGATCTTTATATCCCTTTCCTCACCCTCCTACCCTCCCCCACCCTCCCCTCATCCTCCTACAGGGTATTATGGGCTAATACTTCTCACATTTTAATTTGCAATAGACTTGTCTAGGGATCCGGCTGAAAAGCAGATTCTGAGCCAGTGGATCTGCATTTCTAACAAGCTCCCAGGGGAAGCCTCTATTGCTGATTCGTGGAGACCATCACACTTTGGGCTGGAGGGTGAGGAAGAATGATTGAGCACAGGCTTTGGAGTTAGGGTCCCTGGTTCAAATCCGGGCTCTGTCTTTTGTAGGCTGTGGGATTGTGGGCAGGGTGAGCCTTTCCCCCTCTCTGTAAAATAGTCACTGCATGGGGTTATTTTGAGGATTAAATAAACTAATGTCTGTAGGCCACAGTCAAGACAGGCTCCTAGCAGAGTACAATAATTGATTAGTTACGCCTTGGGGGCGGGCCGGGGCCAGGGCCAGCGCCGGGAGGGGCGGGGCCGGCGCAGGGAGGGGCGGGGCCAGCTCTGGGGGCGGGCCCAGAGCAGGGAGGGGCGGGGCCGGGGCCGGGAGGGGCGGGGCCAGCTCTAGGGGCGGGCCCAGAGCCGGGAGGGGCGGGGCCGGGGCCGGGAGGGGCGGGGCTCTGGCAGCCCTCACGCACGCGCAGCCGCTAGTGCCCGGGCCTCAGGTAAGACCGGGGGCGGCCCTAGTTGGGGAGCTAGGTTTGGGCTATGCAGAGTACGGGAAGTTTTGGGGGGGGGTCCCCTCGTTATGCTGAGGACACTCGGGGGCCAGTGCCTCCCGCTCAGGCCGCCGGACTGACCGAGTGTTTCCGGGTTGCTCGCGACCTTGGCCCCGCGGCGGGCCGGGCCGGGGCGGTGCAGGCCGGCTGGAGGGCCCTGAGGTCCCGGGCAGCCGGGCAGCCGGGCAGCCGCTGGGAGCTGCGGGGCCCGGGGATGCGGGGCTGAGGATGGGGTAGCCGGCCGGCTGGGCTTTGGGGGGCGGGCGCCTGGAGAGATGTGCTGAGGAAGCTCGCTCAGCATCTGGAGTCTAGAATCCAGACTGGGAGGCCCTGCTGCTGGCGGGATGCTGCCTGGAGATACCGAGCGGAGCCGCGCAGATGCCCAGCTCTGGTGCCCAGATGAGGGGTTCGGGGGTGCCACACGGAGCCTGGGCTGAAGCTTGTGTGCCCCGTGTGACCACAGCCCCGTGTGACCACAGCCCCGGCCGTTCTCCGAGCCCACTGGAGGAGGCTTTATTCGAAACGTCACCCAAGTTGAAGGTGACCAGGCGTCCCTATTTTTAACAATGTGTCCCACAACCCGCGGCGTTTTTAAAAAGTCCCAGTTTCTTTCCAAAAATTGGGACTTTTTTTTTTTTTTTTTTTTTTAAAAACGCCGCGGGACGTGGGGCAGATTGTTAAAAATCAGGACTGTCCCGCCCAAAGCGGGACATCTGGTCACCTTACTAAGTTCCAACCTTCTCAAGAAGCTTGTCTGCTCTTGTTTCTCCTCCGCAAGTTAGTAACCTAACTTCATTGCGGACAGTATGCCTTTGGGGTCTTTATCTAATGGGCTTTATTGGTGGTTACAACCTGAAGCTGAGGGGCTTGCCATGTAACACGTGTTTGTACACATATATAGGAGAGGTCTGGTGCACAAAATTCGTGTGGGTGGGGGAGAGGGGTCCCCCTCAGCCCAGCCTGCACCCTCTCCAATCCGGGACCCCTCTGGGGATGTCTGACTGCCGGTTTAAGCCTCATCAGAGATTGGGCCTAAACCTGCAGTTGAACATCCCTCTCACAGTCCTGGACCTTTGGCTCCTAATCGCACACTTGCCTGCCTGCCTGGTCACCCCTCATTGCCACTATGTGCCGGCCTGATTGCCCCCCTCCCCTCCACCCTGTCAGCCTGGTCACCCCCAAATGCACCAGGGCAGTCCCCACCCCCCTATGGGCCTGGTCGTAGGCAATCATATTGTGAGGGTGTGAGGGTTAATTTGCATATTACATCTTTATTATATAGGATTTTCAAGAAAGGTGATTATACATAGTGTTTTTTGGACTTTGTTTGAACCCTTAACCTCACTTCAACAAAACAAAATGACATTTTACTGTGATTCCTTACACTGTGAGTCTGGCTATAGGCAGGGTGTTTTGTTCTTTTCACCCCTTCAACATTAAAAATATGAGTACCCATGAGGGCTTACTTCCTGACAGTAATGTACGGCATTGTAGTGAACAGCAAAACAACTCTCCTCACCCACTCACCTGCCTGATGACTATAAGTTGTTTTTTTCTTTCACTTCCCCTGCTTTATTTTTTTTTTTTGGGGGGGGGGGAGGGGTAAGGATAGTAAAGTTTTAATCTTTTAGTCCCCAAGGATCACATTATCAAAATGAGAGAAGGGAATATGGGGTGGGGGGATGAGGAGGACACCTGATAAGGATTTTAGTAGGATACTACAAAGGTAGGGCATTTAATTACCTCCCCACCCTCAGGTGTGTGAAAAGGAGAACGGAGAGAAACAGAGGAAAGGCGTGACACAGTGAGCTAGCTGAGCTGGGGCTGCAGAGTATTAGAGAACATTCTATCTGCACAAAGGACCGAGAACAAGGTGACCAAGAGCACGCTCAGGACAACAGCAAAACTGAGATAATCACACTGGGAATGGGTTATTTTTGTAGAAGTGGCATTGCGTTTTAATAGGCTCATTTCGGCTCACGTGTATTTGTTGTTAAACTCAGGATGGGCCGCCCTCTGGAACCACTGACAAAGAAAGTCTTTAAAGGAGTGTTAGTAGCCGAATTAATGGGCGTCGTTGGAGCATACATTCTGTTTAATAAGATGGACACAAGCCAAGGTAATAATTCAGAAGTGAATGTTTTATAGAGGGGTATACAGTTTGCTAATGCCTTTTAGGTGCTAAATGACAGAGAAACCGCTTCTTCAGATTCAGGTCATTAGGCATTTTTATGGCCCAAGGGGAAACTAGGTGTTGATTATTTTAATGATTCTTAACTTCCTCCTAAGAAGTTGTTTGCAGACCTGAGGATATGTTTCACACGCCCCTCCGCTTTCCCAGCGCAGGGGTGGGGAATAGAGCTAGTGTCCTTGGTCTGGCTTAGTGTGGGAGCACAGATGTAGCAGATGCACCCCCGTTTGGTAGGCTGAGAGGAGCACAGGCAAATTGTCAAAGTAACCGGTTTCTTAGGCGCAGTTCTGCATCAGTACTAGGCACTGAAAACCTTTTCCATGCTCTGGCTATTAAAGTGCTTTGACTTACTATGGGGTGAAATTCTGAGAGCTGACAAAACTTTTTTATTTTTTCAAGTATGTTTTCACTTTTTCAAACCGTGACCTCCTGGTTCATGGGTCGACACTCAACCACTGAGCAACACCGGCCGGGCTCACACTTTTAAATTAGGAAGTGCTGCTTTCTCTTTTACTGAAGCAGGGAATAGCGACTCCCTGTGGTGGCCATCTTTGAAAGCTGTCATTTGTTTTATTAAAAAGTACTTCACCAGAACGGTTCCACAATGCTACTGGGATATTCACGCTATGCTTTTGTTTTTAATCCTCACTCTAGGATATTTTTTCCCATTAATTTTTAGAGTGGAAGGGAGAGGGAGAGACAGAGAAACATCAATGTGAGAGAGACACATTGATTGGTTGCCTTCCACACTGGCCCCCATTGAATCCTAAGGTTGACCTACAGCCAAGGTACATGTCCTTGATCAGAATCAAACCCAACACCCTACAGTGTCCAGGCCGATTCCCTAACCACTAAGCAAAACTGGCTAGGGCAGTCTCTATGCTTTTAAACTATAAGGGTATAAAACATCCAAATAGAATTTAAAAACCAATTAAAGTTTAAGATCAACTTAAAAAACTGGGTATTGTACAGTCCTATTTTTAATTCTAAAACAAGGTAAAATTGCACCCATAAAAATAATTTATAAAGTTACATAAGAGAATTACACATTAACATTGAAAACTTGCCTTTAAATACCACTTCTAAGTAAATTACATGATATGTATAGGTCAAAATGTTAAAACTCCAAAATAACTATGGGAGCCTATATGCAAGTGCAGTGTAGACCCAAAAGGATATAGTTCCTGTATTACCAGGACCTTAACAAAAATTTCTAATCTGTGGGATCCCTACTTTATACACCCTAAGGTTAAAATATGGCTGCATATTTTAATATAATAAATCTCTAATCATGTCTAATTTAAAAATTTTTTCCTCAGATTTTAGGCAAACAATGAACAAGAAATTTCCCTTCATCTTGGAAGGTACGTTTCAGGTAACCTGTACATCTTATAGGTATTTATAACTTTTCTCTTAATTAAAAATAAAACTACAAAAAGACGTTTTCAGGTAATCTATATACACTAAATAGTAATTTCTTTATGAACAATTAAGGGCAAAATGACTATTTTGTGATGTTAATTTAAAAAATATATTATTCATCCCTATTTTGGCTCCTTCTGAGAACAGAGTAGAGAAAATTCTCACCTAGAGTTATCCAGATGAGAGCAGTTAGTTCATGGGCTGGATTTTTAATTCTTCCAGTGGTTAAGAATGTAGACTATGGAATGAGACATACCTGAGGTGGTGATGGGAGTCAAACCACAGCTTAAAGTTTAAAACCAATCACAGGTTTGCTAACATCTTGGAGCTATTTCTTTCTCTGTCAAGTAGAGATGATCATACCTACTTTACCAATTGTTATAAAGATCAAACGAAGTAACATTATGTAATCAGCACAGTATCTGCCTAATAGTGTTCATTACAATGATCAGTACAGGTTCTAGAGCTTCTACATGAAATACCAACAAGAAGGGAAAAGAAGTTTATTTTGCAATAGTGTTCAGTTTTAATATTTTTACATGATTTTATAAATGACAACTATTTTTTAATTTATAGTTTATTACAAATCCATTGAATATTCTGGAATATATGGAGTCAGAGAGCAAGATCAAGAAAAATGGTTGAACAGCAAAAGTTAGGAGTAAGTACAATCTGAATTTATAATTTATTTAGAAAACACTCATTTTCTTTGCTTTTTAATTTTTTGAGGGGTTTTTGGCCTCTTCTTTTTGAAACTTTTCTTTTTCCTGATGATACTTTTCACATCTCTGTTGTGTAGCCAGTCATCACGTTCGGCCTCCCATCGGAGCTGTTTGAGGCCTTTGGGGGAGAGAAAGATGAACACACCACACTGTAGCCTTTTGGAGGCCCCACAGAACATCCTGCTGAGTCACAGGAGCTGCTGGTCTGCCTGCCAGGGGCTACAGCTGTTTCCCAACCATAATGCAAACCCCCTGCTTATGTGTAACTTTCCTTCTGCATTTAATGTCGGAGATTACCATTTTATTTATAAGAGACCAGGATAGGAAAGGAACAAATGCTCTAAAGATTTTATTTCCCCTGAACCCATTTTACTGGCAAAAACCGGAAGCTAGTAACTATGAATATCAGAAAAAATTAAAATGCGTAAAAAGCATTTAAAAAATCACTTAGCAAAAAAAAATTCAAGTTACTTACTTGCATTATCTTTGTTAGCCATGGCATTCATGCCAATGTTGTCAAACTTGGATCCCATGTTTTCATCCAATAGGTGGCCAAACTTAAATAAAAAAAGGGGTGGGGGAATATATTTATCAGAAAACTTAAAACAATGTGGGATAGCTAACTTCTTAAAGTAGAAATTACCCTTTACCTCTTCAGCAGATACAAATAGGTTGGGGTCATTAAAATTCCTTTTCTTTTTCTTCCTGGGTCCTAAAAGAAGTATAAACCTAGATTAAATTTTAAAATCCAATGATTTTGGAAAAACATAAATCTTTCAATATGACTTTAAAAAAATTTATATTAGGGATAAAATACAAAATTTGCAATTATTTTCTAACACCATTAGGTAGCTGTACTTACACAGATATGTACTTAAAAGTTAGTATATACTATTTTTTTAAAAAATATCCTAATAGAATTGTTCAGATGATTTTCTGTTTTCTTGTCTTTCAGATTTGGTCACTGATCACAGTTTACCCTATCTTAGAGTATTAGGCATGAACAAATTTCCAAAGGTGACATGGATAGATTTTGGAATATTAAAGGCAAAACGTAAATTCTAATTAAGCCAGAGCATTTATTTTTTGGACTAACTGTGAAGAAATTTATGGAAAGTATGTTTATTATGTTATAAATAAAGTTTTGTATACACCACTAAAAATAAAATGGTTCTCCTTTAAAAAAAAACACCTATAATTCTGGATATGTAAACTTTTTCAAAATAGATAAGAGTAAAACATCTATTTTTAATACTTAAATTTTAATTCACACATTTAAAACCCCAATATCTAAAACTATATTAAATAGAAATAGCTTTTATCCATTTCCTGAAATAATATTATCCAATTTACATCTTTGACATCAATGTGTCTTGCACTACTAGAGTCACTATTTAAAAAAAAAAAAAAAAAATATATATATATATATATATATATATATATATTGATTTCAGAGAGGGGAGAAGGGGGAAAGATAGAAAAATCAATGATGAGAGAATCACTGATTGGCTGCCTCCTGCATACCCACACTGGGGATCAAGCCCACAACCTGGGCATGTGCTCTTGCCTAGAATTGAATCTGGGACCAGTCAGTCTGAAGGTCGACGCTCTATCCACTGAGTGAAACTGGCTAGGGTTAAAGTCACTTTTTTAATACAGCTGTACTAAGAAATAAAATTTGTCATAAAATTCAGTTGTTTTAAGAGTATAATCCAATACATTTCAGTTAATTTACAGTTATTCAGCTGTTATCACAATGCAATTTTAGAATATTCCCACAAACTCCAAAAGATCCCTAGTGTCCATCTGTAGTAACATGACCCCTCCCATGAAGGCTTTGCCTTTTCGGGCTATCTGTATATATTATATATAAAACCCTAGTACACAAAAAGACCAAATGGCAGAACAACCAGTCGCTGTGAGTGTGCTGACCACCAGGGGCGCACGTGGAACATGGTGGGCATTGGTATCAAGCAGGATGGTGGAACAGAAAAGTGGGAGTGTCAAGACCAAGGCGGTTGCGCCATCATTGGGGCGAGCCTCTGGTGGTTACTAAAAATTCTTTGCTCCTGTGCACTGTGGTCCCTCCACCCCCTGCTCCTAAAGGGCGATCGGGGCCCTCGCACTGCTGCTTGCACCCGCTGCTGGCGCCGGCCCCAATTGCTCTGTGCCGTCAGCAGGAGTAGGGCTGCCGACATACAGAGGTCGGGCCGTGGCACAGAGGATGGGCAGAGACCTGCCCCTGTGCCCACCGCAGCTGCTCCCAGTTCCTTCCAAGGTGCACGGATTTGTGCATTAGGCCCCTAGTTTTATATAAATGGCTTTCTGTATCTGGTTTCTTTCCCTTTCTCATAACAATTTTGAAGCTCATCCATATTATAGCATGTTCCGCCACTCCATTCCATTTTTCTGTTGAATGCTATTTCATTACATGGCTATACCATATTTTTACTATCTAATCATTAGTGAATAGACATTGGGCTGTTTCCACTTTTTGGCTATTATGAACAATGCCGCCATGAACAATTGTGTACAAGTCTTTACGTGAATATACCAGAGCCACTTGTGATGAAATAGCTTCTAGAGCATTTTACCTTAATTTTTATCAAAGTGAAATGAAAATTATATTATTTAAGAATTGTTCACAATACTATTATTGAATATTTTATGTTAGGCTAAAATGCTTATTAGCATAGGATTAGGAAAGTTTTTTTTCCCATTCATCTTATAGGTACAGATCTATAACTTCAATTGGTAAACAATCCTGCTGCACTGCCTTCTTAAAGTTTCCTTAACGTTTGATTTTCCTTAAGAATATCCAACATTTGTAAATTAAGGTGGAGCCCTCAGGATCAATAAGTCTGAAATTCCTTTGCTTCTTTTTTTGTTTTAATCAATTCTATCAGGTATACTTTAATCAGCATTCAAAACTATTACTGAGATTCTTTCAGACTATTGTTTCTGAAAACAGTACTGATCATTAAAAAAATAAGGTTACTGAGAGAGTATCTTTTAATGACAGGCTCAGTAGGACTTGTTTTAAAGCAACATTTATTTTCTGTGAGATGATTTTGAGGAAAACTTTGCCTTATATTTGAGAACTTGGCTGCTATTAACGTGACCTTACGGCACTCAGTTGAAAACGAAGTGTTGAAGATATTGTAATTTAAATATGTACCAGGTAAATCAAGCTAATTAAGAGGACTGATTGTTAGCAGTAGTTGAAAGAGTTGATAGAAATTTTGTAGGCATAAAAAATCTGTCTACTACCAATATATAGTTTTTATTATTTTTTATATTTATTGTAAAAATATTTAATGTAAAAAGTTTTAAGTATTTCTTAGTTTTAATAAAATAGTTTTGTTTTTAATTTTGCAAATCTATTTTTATTCATCAGTACTAGTAAACAGAAGTTAGAGAGGCAAAGGGTAAAAAAAAGCACACGCCTGTATTTTCCTTTTATAAGATTTTTACTTGACTTTCAGAGACAGAGGAATGAGAGGGAGAGAAATATGGATGTGTGAGTAAAACATCAATCAGCTGCCTCCTGCATGCCTCCCACCAGGCATCGAGCTGGCCCTGACCAGAAATCAAACTGGCAACCTTTTGGTGCAACCAATCAAGCCACACCAGCCAGGGCACTTGTGTACTTACCCACAGAATTATGGGATACAATATTTATTGTATGATTGCTGTCTATATTTGTATCAACTGAAGGTTGATGATAGTACTTTTTTCTTTTATTAGTACTTTAAAAGTGATACTTTAAAATAACGTTATGATATACTTAAAAGAATTCCTATCTGTTTTATATTAGATATTTGCGAGGTTAGAATTGTTTTGACATGGCAGTAAGGTGGCAGATCTCATAAAAAAGGAAAATAAAATTAATAAAGAGTATAGATTTTCAGAAGGGTCAAATGGCAAAGAAGATTTAGTTGAAAAAGGCAAAAGGTATCTATGAAAAACCTGAAAAACCAGAGCTTACATTTAACTGAATGGTTTAAACAGAAATCATCTAGAGATATTTAGATGTAAGAGGAAAGAATTCAGGAAGAAAAAGTAATTAAAAATGTATGTAAGATAACTTCCACATAAAAATGTTACTATCCATTATAAAAACAAAGTAATTATATTACCAAAAATTGAGAGAAATTTCAAAAAACAAAACAAAACAAGTAATAACTTTCTTTTGCACACTACTTAGGTTTCAAAGGGACTAAATGCATTTTCTTACCTTGAAATGATTCAGCAAAGTCAAAATCATTTGCACTTTTCCTCTTGCTTTTATTAGAACTGACTTTGAAGCTCACTTCATCATTAAGGTCTGTTACCAAAAAATGTGTTAGTAATTTAAAAGCAATAGGACTGCTATAGAGTTATGCTAAATGATAAATATTAACTTTTAGAAAACACTAATTACTATTTTAACATTAAAAAAGGCAACTGTGGTGATTTGGGGGGAGGGGAGAGGTGGAAGAGGGATAGTGTTGGAAAAAATAAAATTTTAAAAAGGAAGCAACATGACAGCTCAATAGGTATATCACAGACATGCTGAGGAAGAAACGAAGATCTAGTTTGTTTCTGTTTAATTTTTAAAATGCTTACCTTGACTGCCCTCACTCTCATCATCCAACACATCCATGAATGTTCCTCCATCTTCATCAATTTCAGTAAATTCTTCATTCATGCTTCCTAAAGAAACTTCATCATCATCTAAGTTATCAAGGTCATCATCACTATCTTCTGAATCTTCATCTTCGGGCTCACCCTTGGCTCCTTTTGTTTTCTTTTTCACGTTGCTGAAGAAAAACAACAACTTGTAAGGTAAAAAAGGATGGTTTTCTAAAATGTGGCTTGGTGTCTACCCAAGGTATTAGGCTATTAACAGGTTTAAAGGAGAGTTACAGAAGGCTCAGAGCCTTTATTTAATATAC